AGGTTGGTATGTATTGCCTGGGCATTCAATACACTTGTCTTGATTTTTATCGTGATAAAACTGAGCGTTGCATTGTTCTGTTAAGGTAAAATATATTTAGAATTATGCAAACTCGTACTAAACTTGGATGACCGCTGCATCATTATACAATTACTTTATGGTTTCCGTGTTTGGATGGCCTGATCCAAACACGCGGGAATGTTGCGAGAGTTAAGAAAAGCGCGCGAAATCACGAGCCGAAGGCGAGTGATTTTGCCCGCTTTTCTTAACTCGAGCAACATTCCCAAGTGTTTGGATCAGGCCATCCAAACACGGAAACCATAAAGTAAATGTTTTATAAAATAACAACAACACGGTAGTCTTCCGTGTTTGGATGGCCTGATCCAAACACGGCTTTCGACCAATCAGAATACAGAATTATAATTACTATTTTTAATTATTTTATTCACATTTATAGCTATTCATTGGCTTTAGGTGCTTGTTGCTGTCGTCGTCGTTTTCGTTGTTTTCGTTGTCGTCGTCGTCGTCGTCGTCGTCGTTGTTGTTGTCGTTGTTGTCGTCGTTGTTGTTGTCGTTGCCGTTGTTGTTGTTGCCGTTGTTGTTGTTGTTGCCGTTGTTGTTGTTGCCGTTGTTGTTGTTGTTGTTGTTGTTGCTGTTGTTGCTGTTGCTGCCGTTGTTGTTGTTGCCGTTGCTTGTTGTTGTTGTTGTTGTTGTTGCTGCTGCTGTTGCTGTTACTTCTGCTGTTGCTGTTGTTGTTGTTGCTGTTGGCTTGATAAATAAAGTAAAACGTACGGCAAGATCCTCTGTTAACAACCGAGCCAGGATTACAGCAAGTTGATGCGACACTTAAACCACTAGAACCTTTAGTGACGTTTGTTGCTCCATACGACGAATACTGCCCTTGAATAGCGGGAGCTTTCTTAGGGTCATTAACTATATCTTGAAATAGATTAGCATTCGCAACACACGTGGCGAAATTCCAACGTCTGTACCCTGCATATACTAAATATTCCAACGATGCTTCGATCGTGTAGCCTGATGACTCAGATACCTGTACAGTCCCAAGTCTAAGTGTCGCTTTTGATCTACATTTACTATTTAATTCTTTTTTCCCGATATCAACAAGTTGCTGCATGATAGCTCTAGCCTTGGAAACATTAAGTGTCAGGGTATCGGATGATACGGTCCCATACTTGATCACGATGTTCTGCTTTACACAACTGTCTCGTGCTTTTCTGATACCTAAAAGCAAAATACAATTTACGTTATTTTCTTCTATTTTAGAACTACAGTAAGATTCAAATTTGATCGAAAAGCAAAGTTTCTAAAATGAAATGCAGTCGTTTTCCGTTGTACAATAAAATTATTGTATCAAAGAAGTCATTGCAACATATTAATTCTACAACAGTTCCTTATTCGTGTAGTTGCGAGTATCTACTCCTCATAACCACACTCTAATTAGACTATAAAATAAAACAAATTCCGATGAAATGAATCTTGCAAATCCAAGACCAAGATATGGATTAAAATCAATGGTAAAAAAACCATAAAATTTTTGTCATGATCTTAATTCATATCTTGGATTTGCAAAATGCCGTGTTTTAGTGACAGTTTACATGATCCCGCTTTACCGAGACGATATGTGAGGCGGGATGATTGAAAAGTGTTACGATGCACGATTCAGCAAAACTACATTATTTATCTATAGATAGAATAGTAGTATAATTGTATACACACGACAGGTTGTTCAAGCAGCAAGAATAATCTTCTTAAACTGCGAGGTCTTCTCCAAAACATTTGAATTATTTTAATCGGCGTTTGAACTTTCGATTTATTTCAATCGGCTATCTTTAAAACAGGGAACGGGGAATCGGGGAATCCGGGAATCGAGGAATCGGGGGAATCCAGGAATCGGGGAATCAGGGAATCGGGGAATCCGGGAATCAGGGAATCCGATAAAAATTTTATAAAAATTTAAATAAAAATTTTATTCAATTTATAATTTATGCAATAAAAGAAAATGAAGCTTAATCGAAAGTTTGACGTCACACCAATATTGCAGGACACGAAGTCGTGAAAAAAACCCAGTTTAATACTTTTAAACGGGCATTTAATGTAAACTTCACGCAGGATATAAACTAAAGCGAATGTGTAATAGCCATGATTGCGCTAAATTAAAGAGTTTCGGTATGCATTGTCGCCATTTTTTGTTGGCACTTACATGTAGTATAATATTTCATTGCTTTGATTGTGATTGCGATTGTCAAATATAATAGCGGTAACACGTTTGCAAGTCGCTTTTTCCTGCTGACATTCATGATGTAATATGATATTTCATTGCATTTCATGCTCAGGCACGTAGCGAAGCATCTGAAGTTGGGGAGTGTCGGAGGATTTTACCTGAAATTTGAACTTCAATGCTAAGAATTTACCTGAAATGCATTAATTATAATAGATAATTTTTTCCATTGATTTCCACTGTCATACTAAGTTTCCGAAGAAGGGGGTCTGGGGAGTCCTCCCCCTGAAAATTTTTACATTTTTCAAGCTACAGGACTGCTTTTCTGGCGTTTTCTAAAACAAATTCGCAAACGAATTGGATCAAATTCACTGTATTTTACAAAAATGGTTATCATTAATTTCACGAAAATAACGACTTTATTACGCAAATTTTACCTGAAATCTCAAACTGATTTTAACTTGAATTTTACCTGATTTTTACCTGAGTTTCACAGTTGGGGCGATTTACCCCCTCCTCCCCCCAGTCGCTACGTCCCTGGGCGAGCGTATCGGAAGTCGCCACTACCGAAGTCGGCGTTGTTTGGGAAGTGGGTATTAATTTGTATATTAAGATAAAATAAACTTATAAAAAGCCTGTATTTCATAGTTATATATATTGATAAACGCGTTAACTATTGGTTATTTGCAATGGCAAGGTCTAACCACGAATCTTTTATTCGATCGATTGGTTTTAAAACGTCAATGTGCATGCAAAGTTCGTTTACATATATGTTTTCTGTCGCACGGTTTATTTTAAGAAAAATTTAGAACTGCACATAATAGAGATGTTACGAAGGCAACGGGTGTTTGGCAGAATAATGGTGTGGTTGGGTGGGAGAATTAGAGAAAGGCCAGACAAACTCGATTTTGGGTGAGGGAACTAGAGGGTGTTCCACAAAACAATTTGAATCTAGAGGCTCTTAAGTTCTGGCAAAGATTTTTTTTACCCAACCATGCACTCACAAAAACTGTTTCAAAACATGTAACTGGGAATCATTGATATTCAATATATAACAACCTTAAATTTGCATTTGAGGCAGCAAAGAATATTAGGTTCTCCCACTTTAATCTCTTTTGGGGAGCTTCGCTCGCCCCAATTTTACCTTCTGTTCCATTACCCGAGGACATAAATGATTTGTGAGGAAAATAGGGGGTCTGGAGTCCTCCCCCAGAAAACGTTCATATTTTTGATGCTCAATTAATAATAACAGCATTTTTGGAATTTTCTGGAGCATCCACAAGGGTAACGAGTAAATGAGAAGACTGTTTTAATTAAGGCTATTTTTGTAAGTGTGATGACTGCATATTTGTGTTTTAAGAACTGCACAAATGGGTTTAGAACTGCACATTTTGTGTGGAAACCCTGTTCTGTCGTGACAACTATTATTACAGTGAAATATTATATTACATGTAAGTGCCAACAAAAAATGGCGACAATGCATACCGAAACTATTTTATTTAGCGCAATCATGGCTATTACACATTCGCTTTAGTTTATATCCTGCGTGAAGTTTACATTAAATGCCCGTTTAAAAGTTAATTAAACTGGGGTTTTTTCACGAATCGTGTCCTGCAATTTTGGTGTGACGTCAAACTTTCGATTAAGCTTCATTTTCTTTTATTGCATAAATTGTAAATTGAATAAAAATTTTATTTAAATTTTTATAAAATTTTTATCGGATTCCCCGATTCCCTGATTCCCCGATTCCCCGTTCCCTGTTTTAAAGATAGCCTATTTCAATCATCTCACCTTCCACCCGTTCCTGCAAACCATGCAAGATTATCTAAAAAGCCCCTTATTTTTTATATATACTTTTATCAAATTGCCGGCTGTAAATGGATTTTGGACATTCCAAGGGTAATCTTTTTATAGGATTAGCAGAAGAAATAGATTCAATCATACTTAAAATAGTTATCCTGAGTGCACTCATCTCCTGACGTGTAATAGGGATTAGAACGGGTAATAAATGCAAAGGTCTATTGCAGGAATTGTGGATTGTGCCAGCAAGGTCAGCAACACGCTTTATTTATAATTATTACTCGCAGGGGCACTTGTGCCCTAGCGAGTATAGGTTTCGGCAGCATTCTCCATCTCCAATCGTCGATAGCCACAAAATAGAATATTAATGAGCTGCTTGATCCTTTTCAAAATGGCGGGGCCTTTCGTGGAGTGGGCAAAATGTTTCAAACAATTACGGGCCGCATTTCGTGAAAATTTTGCCCGAATTGTACCGGTTTTCTATGGATTTTGCATTGTGTCTAACTCTGGACATTCATGCTAGTTTATTTAATGCGTTTTTCTTGGTGCACGACTCTGAAAATCCGAAATTTGGATCGTTGAATTCCCGTGCACGATCATAAGGGACCGTTCATTATTTATACCCAGGGTTGGTACCGAAGAGAAGCGAAAAACAGTGTAAATTTTTTATTTACCCAACCTCAACATTGGTCAAAATAATGTTTACCCAACCCATGTGTTACTGCACTTCATAATAATTAAACACACGAGATTATGGTGACAGAAATCAAGTTGCCTAAATTCTAAAAGCTCACTCAGACTCACACTCACTGAGTGTGCCAAAGCAATCACGTTCCTGCTGATCAATGATAGAGTCCTTCCTCTATCACAGATGGTCTATTTTGGTACAGAATGTTAATTGTACATTTTTCTTCAGATTTTCCAATGCATGGTAATTTTATTTGATTTTATAGCTGACAGACAGCCATAATTTTTTCTACCCAACCCATGAGCTAGTCAAAAACTTGATTACCCAACCCATATCTCTTCGGTACCAACCCCTGGTATAAATAATGAACGGTCCCTAATATATACTGAATCTGAATATATTAAAGGAGCCAAAGACAATTTCAAGGTAAAAGGTTATTTATTAAAACTATGTTGTGCAGTTTAAGTTATAACTACTTTATGAGAAGCATATTGGTGTCATATCAATATAAAATTTATCGAACAACAGTCCATGAAAACTGTCTGTAGTGTACTCAGTGTGAAATATGATATTGTATTTGTAATGCCTCTTAAGCCTGATTTCCACTAGGCGGAATTTTGCGCGCGGAGCGGAATTTTTCTTTGTCTTGTGATTCCTCAGGTGGAACTAATTAGAAAAGACAAAGAAAATTTCCGCTGCGCGCGCAAAATTCCGCCAAGTGGAAATCAGGCTTTAATGGCGCAATAAGGATAAAAATACCACCGTTCGATTCAATGTAACTAAGAAATTGTACTTACGGATGTCAAATGTATTACTAACAGTATTCTAGCGATTTATGGCCTTTGAAAATCAAGCGAAATTGTAGTGTTGACATCAAATCACTCGCAGTACGTTTGTCCTTGTATTTGACAATTTGTATTGCCTAATTAATGGCGCAATAAGAATAAAAATACCACCGTTCGATTCAGCGTAAGAAATTGTACTTACGGATGAGAAATTGTACCTATACAAATGTCAAATGTATTACTAAACAACTGACAACAGTATTCTAGCGATTTATGGCCTTTGACTTTGTCTTTGAAAGCCAAGCGAAATTGTATTATTTGACAAATCGCTGAAAGATGCAGTACGTTTGATCCTTGATAAGGGAAGCCTCACATATCGATTTTGTCCATGAGAAACGTCATATGTTCGTTTCTCTGGAAACCCCCCCCCCCTTAGAAACGTCACACACAGTTATCGATATTTTGTTCTTTAATACAGTACACTATGAGTACACATAAGGTAAGTTTCTACTGTTTTTTTCGGTCGGCTATTGGCGATGCTTCCGCGAGGAATATGTCATCTTCTGCTGACATACTCTTTTTTTATTAATATATATATGAACTTCAAAATTTCCAACGTTTCTCAAAACAACTTTTTTGCATGAAATATTGATAATTTTAGCACGTTGTTCTTGAAATTTGAGTGTTTTCAATGCAAGGAAGGCGTAATAATATAAATGTATAGGTATATAGAACAGGTATGGTATTACGAATATAGACTGTTGTTTGTATCAAATTGTTTTCTTTTTTATATTCTGCAAAGATAAAAACTATCGAAATTTTCCATGATGTTTACAGAGAAACGTCACAGCTGCCAACCCCCCCACCCCCAAACGAACATATGACGTTTCTCGTGGAAAAAATCGATATGTGAGGCTTCCCTAACTTTGGTATCATTAGTTTTCTCTTTTTCGGCCGTACACCAGTGGATTCGTCTCACTTCTCTCTTCATTTTGATAATATTTTGAGCCCAAAAGCCCCCAAATATTTTATTTTGAACGTTTTAAACTGGCGGCCGACAGAAGAATGTAGCGTACTATAAAATATAACTTTACTTGTGGGCATAAATAAAGCAGCAGAATTTAGTGTTCCGCTGATTTCCACTGTTGCGTTTTTCGTACGTACATATACGCACGTAAAACTTTAAATCCGTTTAAATGTTCCTTATAAAATAACCAAATAAATAAAGCAACAGAATGTAGTGTTCCGCAAGTTTTAGTATCCATTTGTTAACTTATTTGTGAAATATTTAAAAAATAGAAGGATTCAAAGTTTTACGTGCGTGTACGTCCGTACGAAAAACGCATCAGTGGAAATCAGAGTTATCATTCCATGTTTCGCGCACCAATATAGGTTAGGGGTTAGGTATTAGGGTTAGGTTAGGGTTAGGTTTAGGGTTGGGGTTAGGGTTAGGGTGTGTTATATGTGTATGGAGGTATCTAGTAAACTTTTCAGGACACTATAATATCCATTACATAACGTTTACTATATTGGTGCGCAAAACATGGAACAATTACCGAAATCAGCCTTTAGATCTTAACAGTAATGTGTGTCAGTTGTATAGCCCCAGCGAGTTAACGCTCCACAGAGCGTCTTGTTATAATTAAAATGACCAATTTAATGCAAAAATTTGGCAAATATTTTTGCGCTAATTATGTGAAAGACCTGACAGGACAACTACATAGTACTTACCAAACTCACAACTGTTGCCAGAAAATCCAATAGGGCAAACACAGCGAAAGTTTGCGTCACAAATTCCTCCATTAAGACATTTACACGCTGTTGAAAATATTAACGTGATATAACTGGGGTTAATATAGTTAATGAAATAACTAGTTTTAAGTACTTTCTGGGAGAATGTACAAAAATATATATAATTAAACATTAAACATCGCATTTTTTCTTTGGTTTTCTTCAGTTTCAGCAGGTGAGTTACCGAAAAAAGTTCTTTAAATTTTATGTTTATCAGCTAAATCTTGCCCGCCTTTGTTATTGACGCGGACGGCAACGTAAGAAGTTTTATCGCGGGTGCATAAGTGTGGCGAAGGGCAGAATAGTTCGAAATAACTCTCCTGCTCACGGAACCAATCAGAAAGCCGCTTTTAGCACAGGTATGGGATAATGGTGTTTATTTTATTTTTACTCTTACTTTAGGTAACCATTATGTGCCGACATTTAGAGAGGGTTTTACCTAAAATCCGGACACAGTACTCAGTAGGTTTTTATCGATCAGACGATCTTCCAAATTCATATCAACACACCTAATATTAGTTGTATTTTCGCAAGACACTCTAGCATCCGAGATCTTGCAAGATGTGATCTTATTTTACAGTATATGTCGATTCAAAATATAAAATTACGTAATTTAATTTCGTTCCTGCACGTTTTCGACCCCTGTACATTTCTGAAGATGTTGATCTTTAGCTAGATTTATATTTTCTGAAATTTTCGGGCGATATATTCTTATATTGATTATTATATGATTGTATTCTACTGCATATTTATTTTACTGAAAACATCTTACGTGCTGGTGACAGGCATTTCAATCCTATGCATGTTGACCTGCAACACTTCTTGGTCTTTCCACAATCTGCGTCAGTTTGGCATTCATCTGCACAAACTCCTACACGTCCTGGGCTTGAATATCTTGGACATATTCCTGGATTGACTCCTTGAAAAAAATTTTAGAGCATAAGCTTTCCATCATATACATGGAGTTTCTTGGGCTTACATGAAAAAAACAAAGTAGTTTCTTGGGCTTACATGAAAAATAAAAGTTTGTTGGTTTACATATACAATATAAAAAGGAAGATAATTTTAATGTCTTTTAACCCGATGTTCAAGTACTGTTTAATAAACGAGTAGGAGTGTTTTATCACATATAAAACACGACGCGTAGCGGAACTACTAGTTTATTAAACAGCTTCAAAAACGTCTCAGTTAGATCACGGCATTGGCGAAATAATTTTCCAAAATAACTTTGTATTAGCTGAGAAAATACAAGTTGAAATTTGAAGCGTGTTTTATCACATATAAAGACACGACACGCTTATGATTTCTCTTTGTGTTTTCCTCATGAATTATTAATGAGTTTTTGAAGTTCTATTTCTTATCCTAAATCAATGTATAGTGCTCATTTACTTGATTGTCTTTTAAAGTTGTTTCCTTGTTCTTCACCAGTAGCTATATAATGAAGACGTTATGATTGAGAACATTCAGTCACCATAAATAAATATTATTGCAAGCTAGGGGCGTCGCAAGTTGTTTCCATTAACAAAATTGCCATAATAGAACCGTGACTTATGAAGAATATTTCTTGGGTCACACTCCAATTTTTACTGTATACAATGATACAATTCAATCTGTTTATTTCATCTATGACGAGTCTAGATTAGAAAGGACTTGCCAAGTAATAAAGAATTAATTGCATGCCTATAGTATAGGGCGAGCGATTGCCGTTACTCACTGTATACTAGGCCTATACAACCAACATTTCCCTGTATTTTCCCCTGACAAATGATATAAATAAATTTCTTACCGCGATAACTGACAAACGACGTAATAGCTATTCCGTATTGATACCGTATGACCAATAGTTAACACCTGTCCATACAGAATACTGCATCCACAGTCCACTATAACATACCTGTCATGCAATCATCACCAGTCCAACCCTCACAACATCTTTCAACCACCCGATATAGAGTCTTTGATACCAAGCGTTTTGTGGGCACAATGATAGTTCTAAAATATTGATCAGTTAATTGACTTAATTGGTCAGTTCGTTCATTTTAGTTCATACTTTACTAATTAAAATAGATACTGTCGCTCTTACACATTTGAGATATCATTGCAAATATACCCAATAATTTAGTGATTATACAGCATGAAATGAAAATAGTTTATTTGTCAGCAATTTACATATCGAGTAATACTAAATCCCGGCCCAAAACTTAAAGTGGTTTTCCACTAGGCGAAATTTTTCGATCAAATTTCTATTGTTCAAATTCAAAAGATTTCTGTTTAGTTCCATCTGAGAGCTTCTAAAGGTCATTTTCCACTAAATTTCTCGACCGAATCGAAATTTTCTTTTGTCTTACAAGCATTCAGATGGAACTAATCAGAAATCTTTTGAATTTGAACAATAGAAATTTCGGTTCGGTCGAAAAATTTCGCCTAGTGGAAAACGGTAGTCAGGAGAACAAACCTACACCGACTTGACCATGAAAGCCCACCGACTAATTAAATAAAATCTAAATTAATTATAATTATATTAAATTCCTATTTTGCTGGTAAATCTTTCCTCAAAATATGAAACATATGATGACGTAGCTGCTGACGACTGAAAAATTTACATTAGCAATTATCATATTAGCTATTGAGTAACACAAGCAGTCTCGGTCTTCAACCTACCTCCTCCGCAGGCGCTTAGGGAGCATTTCGGGCAGGTTCGGAAAATGCGGGAAAAGTGGCCCGCAAACATTTGCACCGCCCGCAAATGTGCCCGGAAAAAGGGCCTGCGGAGGAGGTAGGTCTTCAACAAGCATGCCTGGAAGTTGATTTTTATTATTTCAATGAGATTAAGATCTATAAAATAGAGTGAGCTGCAGAGACACGCAGGATCTATGACTATGGCTATGCGTACTCTGGAAGGCTTGGAATGTTCTAGATTATTTTTAGAAGTTAAAAACAAATAAACAATAGACAATTTAAAACCACGATAAGGATGCAATCACTTTTCACCACCTCTTAGCTTCTATAGCACAATGCCAATGGAGCCTTGCCAAGGACAAAGCATTAACTTACTGATTAGCTTTTACTAGCCAAGTTAGCCTTTATGTGGGTTGTAATGCTAGCCTTTGCCCCAAGGTAGGGAGACAGTATAGACTGTAGTCAGACATTTTTGCAAAGGAGGTTCACAGGCTAAGTCAGCCCTGAGGAAGGCAAAGGCAAGGCCGTGAGTGGAGA